CCCGAACACCTGGTGTCTGCATGCAGTCTAGTCTCTGGACTGAAGTGTCCATTGTTACAGCTACCACTAAACAAAGAGGTGTTGTAATTGTTCCCTGAGCTAGCCTGCATGGAAGGTGGTTAGCACACGCATCAGTGTCCTAGAGGTCTGTGACTGACCACAGAACAAACATGCTTTCAGGAAACCATCCACCTTCAGTATAACAACAGCACAAGAGCGCCTCCAGCCAGCGTTCCTGCTGGATCAGCTGCTCCGGCGATGTTTCAGGCCAATACCTGGAGATCCTAACTCTCACTCTCTCTCTTTCAGATTGAAATCTACTCTGACCCAGACTATTTCCACGTTTCCATTGATGAAAACAAAATCCTCCAATACAAGCATCGGCAGAAACAGCTCTCAGCTATCACCAAACTACAGGTTGTGAAGGATGTCAGAATTTCTTCCATGGAAATCACTAAACGAGGTCTTTATTAGTGAGCAAAGCTGGGATAGGCTCTCCAGCCTTAAGAACCCTATCCCAGTAGGCAGCTAATGGCTCTCTCTCTGCCCTCTGCCACCCATCATCTCCTGTCTTCCGCAGGAAGGATGTGCTGGAAAACGCAATAGTGGAGTTGTCATGCCCTTGGTGTTCTGTATCTTAGCAATACAAAGGCAATACACAACGAGCTAGTTAATGTCAGATGATCCAGATCCTTAGAGTCATTCTGGCGCCATGTGCCTTTGAATGGAGAACTGGAAGTCTAGACATTTTCATCCTTGTTTGTTGCTACCAACAGTGGATTTCCACACAGCAGTTTGTTCAGTGGGGAACTCTGCAATAGGGTCTGAATTGGCTCCACTTCTCAGCGGGGTAGATCGAGGTGATGGGTAAGAATGATGCGAGTGGAGGGGGGCATGTGCCTACTGGAGCTTGGTAGAATGTAAACATGATCACCAATAAAATATGAAAAATGACACCTAGAGAAATGGCTGAGTTTGTTGGCCCCATGTGTCCAAGCTCACAAGCAGTCTGCTGTCCTCCAATAAAGGAGGGCATCTCTGACAAACAGTAGCAGATGACTATGCTCCTGCCATCATACAGACTCATGCCTGTCCATTTCCCTAGAGAAATCCCTGGCTTAAAATTCCAGCAGTTGCTCAAGTCAACTAGATTATTCCTCCCCGTGGTTCTATACTCAGTCGGATTCTCCAGTCACAGGTTACAACAACTCTCATTGATTTCCACGGGAGACACAGAGGGAAAATAAGGCCCATTGGCTTCAAAGGATAGTGCGAAATCAAACTCCTATTTAGAGCCCGGGGAATAAAATTTGTCACAACTCATTTTGCAAGAGTCCCCTGAATAATTTTGTCCACACTGCAGCAATATCCGTATTTCCTCTGCTCTAACCCTGCCAACTCTCCTGTGATTGTACAGAGCCCAGGAGTGATTCTGTGGGTCAAAAAGAGGGAGAGGTGTGAAGGAGCACTAAGCCTAGATGATTTCATCAACATGCACTGGAGGCACAACTAGAGTCTTTCTATGCGGAAGGATCCTAGAAGCAGGGGCAGATATAGGGCAGGGCGAACGGGGCGGCCGCCCCAGGCCCCGTGCTTCAGAAAGCCCCGTGCATGCGCCGTGGCAAAAGGGGGGGCCCCACGGAATTATGCTGCCCAGGGCCCCGCAAAACAGTCATCTGCCCCTGCCTAGAAGGATCAGGTTCTAGCAATTATGTTTTTCAGGATAAACACGAGGCACCATATCTCTGGTGGTGAGAATCAATCTCTTTCTCTCACTCCCTTCTCAGCTCAATGGAATCAACACACACTCACTCATCTTGCTTTCTCCTCCCCCTTCTCTCTCTTACCTTGTCCACCTCTCTCTCCTCTGAGAAGAGTATCAGGAGTATGACCCCCAGACTGCTCTCCAGCAGGAGAAAGGTTGCTAATGGACAAACTTGCATAACAGTGCAATAAACACCTTACCATTGTTAAACAGGAACGTGAACTCATTCAAAAAGGCCATTGCAGCCAGTGTTCCCTCTACACTGCACCGTAGCCCAGCTTCACAGCCCCACCCAGTCAGTCAGCTCCATGCACAGAGCCCTGAGCCTCTGACTGGGTGGGGCTGATTAATCACCTGTGAAGCTGGGCTGTCAAGCGGCTTAGAGGGAACACTGGCTGCAGCTGCCCTCTAGTCATCCCCTTTTCCCCACGTGTGTTCCAAATGGCAGTCGATAACCAAATGGCTGCTATCTGTCATAGCCACCAAGCCACACACTATGTACTCATCACAGGTCCTGTAACATCCCTGGTCATCAAAGGGAGTCATTGGAATTGCTATCTGTCCAAGTCCAAGTTTTGCTCTGGCCTGTTTAGAACATTTTAGTTTGACTGGCTAAGGACATTCTCATCCCCTTCTATATTTAGTCTGAATGTCCTCAGAAGAAGGGGGTGTTGTCAGTCAGGCGGATCCTCCTGATGAGTTCGTGACAGGTCTCTGGCTCAGTCAATGATAACCAGAAGGCTGCTTGCGTGTGTGCTCAAGGATGTGTGCCGTGTTGATTTACACGTTAATTAGCACAGCAGACTTCAAGAGAGCCCCCAAAGTCCACAAATCACATAAGGATCGAAGAAGCTTCAGGGGGTAACCAAGTTAGTATGTACAGGACAAACTTAAAAAACAACAAATAGTCTGGTTCCAACATGTTTTGTTAGTCTATAAAGTGCTACCAGACTATTTGTTGTTTTTTAAGTTTATAAGGATCAAAGGTGCTCAGCCAAGTTTATTGTTAAGCAAAGTACAGTAATAGTTGTTAGTAGACTCCACTGAATCTAGAGAAGTTACTATTCCCCTTTATTCGGCACTGGTGAGGCCACATCTGGAGTATTGCATCCAAGTCTGGGCCTCCCTCACTATAGAAAGGATGTGGACACATTGGAGATGGTCCAGCAGAGGGCAACCAAAATGATTAGGGGGATGGAGCACATGACCTATGAGGAGAGGCTTAGGGATTTAGGCTTATTTAGTCTGCAGAGGAGAAGAGTGAGGGGGGGATTTGATAGCAGCCTTCAACTTGCTGAAGGGAGGTTCCAAAGAGGATGGAGTGAAGCTGTTCTCAATAGCGATGGATGACAGAAGGAGGAGCAATGGTCTCAAATTACAGTGCGGGAGGTCTAGGTTGGATATTAGGAAAAACTATTCCACTAGGAGGGGGAAGCACTGGAATGGTTTCCCTAGGGAGGTGGTGGAATCTCCATCCCTAGAGGTTTTTAAGTCCTGGCTTGACAAAGCCCTGGCTGGGTTGATTTAGTTGGGATTGGTCCTGCCTTGGGCAGGGGGCTAGACTTGATGCCCTCCTGAGGTCTCTTCCAGCTCTAGGATTCTATGATTCTATGAATCACTATGCATATGTACCCGTAACAATGGCCTCAGCTCAACGAGTGGGAAATTCCCACTGCCCCCCGGCTTGACAAAGGCTGTCCTCCCCAAGACACCACTTTATATACAGGTACAAGCAGCGGCGGATTTAGGGCAGGGCGAGTGGGGCGGCTGCCCCAGGCCCCGTGCTTCCCAAGGCCCCGCGCATGCGCTGTGTCAAAGGGGGGGCCCCGCGAAATTTCACTGCCCGGGGCCCCACGGCGCTACCCTGGGCCCCGCGGGACTCTCATCTGCCCTGGGTACAAGGAAGTTACACATCATTCTCTGACATTGTAGGTTATCACCTGTCACCCTCAACCTTATGGTTTGACTAGATCATCTCTATCCATCATTTTAGACCCTTTCCTGAACCTGGGTCTGTACCTGTGGGGAGTGTGTACCAAGATCTTTCTTAACAAGCTGGTGGTACCATGGGCATTCAACTTATGACCAGTACTAAGTATTGTTCTACACCTGGGCCTATTACCAATTAGTGTTTTGCACTCTCAGCCCTGTTCGTGCCATATCCTGTGAGCAGGGGCCTGCCTCTTGCTCACAGTTTAGCTTTGGTTTATGTTAGCCAAGTTTTGTCCATTGTTAGCTAGGCCTCAGGCCTCAGACCAGGCCTGTGCTACATGGGCTTTTGTTTTAGGCCTTCATATTACTACAGGGGAGAATAGTGTACCTGACACAACACTGCATACTGCAAAGTCAACATTTATACGTCTTAAAAGTTTGTATGGGTATGTCTACACTACCACCCTAGTTCAAACTAGGGTGGTAATGTAGGCAACCGGAGTTGCAAATGAAGCCTGGGATTTGAATTTCCCAGGTTTCATTTGCATAAAGCCGGGCGCCGCCATTTTTAAATGTCCGCTAGAGTGGACTCCGTGCCGCGTGTAGCCGCGCGGCACGGAGTCCGCACTAGCGGACATTTAAAAATGGCGGCACCCGGCTTTATGCAAATGAAGCCCAGGAAATTCAAATCCCAGGCTTCATTTGCAACTCCGGTTGCCTACATTACCACCCTAGTTTGAACTAGGGTGGTAGTGTAGACATACCCTATATAGGATATCCAGACTATAACTTGAAGACATCATGTTCTTATTGCAAAGGTTGTAGTAGGAACACAAGAAAGTCCAGAACAAATGTGTTTGCATAGAAAGAACAGAAAATATGCTTAGTAAATGGCAACCATGTGGTTACAAGTCAGAAGTGGAAATTGTGATCAATGTATCTGGAGTAACTTAGTCTCCTTGTGCATCCAGTTCTTATCACGAGCTGAGTCCCACCTGGACCTCAAAAACCCTCCTTTTGTGAAGTGACTCCCTCACTCTCCTCACTCTCCCTGTTCATTCTGTTTTGGAGCTTCCAACTGGTCTGGAGTAAACCACCCTGGGTTCCACAGCCCAGGGAGAGGGTCAGTTTTAGAGAAGTTGCATTTATAGTCTGATCCAGACCCAAATTACAATGGCCAAAATTCACAGGTAACTGCTTGAAGTCAATGCAGTTACACTGTGTTAAACAATGCAAGTGCAGTCAGACTCGGGACCTTTACAGCATAAAATTTGCTCTGTCTCTGAGAACGCTGAACTATATTTAGAAGAAATGGCTCCTTTCATTTGTCCCTGTTGGGAAGTTTCATGACACTGATTGCGCTTCATGGGGGAAAACTGATGAGAGAATTTATAATAATAATAGTTTGCTTTTCGATGGCAATAAACCCCCATCTATATCCCATCACTATATCCATATTCCACAATGCCAATGACTTCAGTCACTGAGCTTGGATGAATAGGGCAAACATATTTCAAGTACAATAAATAAAAAGAGCTGCCATAAAAAATTAGCCAGCAAACATCCAATTGCTCCACTCTTCTTCCAACACACCGCTTCCTCAGCCTGCCCCTCAGCGAATCAGCTGATCTCACTCGCACCATCTGCACAGAGAAACGGAGCGCAAACTTCCCTGACCCATCAGTGGAGTTGCTGTAGGCATAGAGATATTAACCACTCCGTCCTCAAACTGAAACTTTCTTCCCTGGCAATGAAAGGTACTTGATGGCTCCTGGTAGTAGCATGGCTCATGCTTGCTAATAGAAATGGAGCAACTAACTCTCATTGAGGATCGGTGTTCCCTCTAATTTTTGTCGACAAAACCCTGTAGTCTAGGCACAACCATGGTTTGTAGCCCGTACAGAGATTAATTCATTCCCAATGTCATGGTAACACCCCTAGATTTGTGGGCCCCCCAGAGCCTTAGCTTCCTTTTAAAATGACTGTGCAAAGAATGCTCTGAGATCCTGGACATGTGAGGAGAGGCTATCTGTCCTTAAGCCTCCGTGGTGGGGGAAGGTATGACAGTAGCTATAGAAACAGCAGCTGCTGGTTAACATAAACGAGAGATGCTAAAGAGATACGCAGCTCCTCACCTGGAACAAGAGAGAGGAATATTTTGCACAAGACCACATGTTGGACACCAGCTGAGCCCCCATGATTTCCAGCTGAAAGAGCATTCTCCCTGCCTGATAGAAAGTCAGACTGATTTAGTACA